CCTCCAAACCTTTCCTATTATGTACCTATCCAATGTTTTTTACATCTTGTAACCGTATCTGCATCTACCACTTGCTCTGGCAGTTCATTCCACATATGAATCACCCTCTGAAAAAGTTGCCTCTCAGGTCCCTTTTGAATCTTTCTCCTCTCACTTTAAAAATATGCGCCCTAATTTTGAACTTTCCACTATAGCTAAAAGACCTCTGCTATTCATCTTATATATGTCCCTCATGATTTCATAAACCTCTATAAAATCAATCCTCAACTTACCATGCTCCAGTGAAGAGACTCAGCCCATCCATCCTCTCCTTATAGGTCAAACCTTCCATTCCCAGCAACATCCTTGTTACTCTTTTCTGAAGCCTCTCCAATTTAGTAATATCCTTCCTGTAGGAGATCCACCAGAATTGTACACAGTACTCCAAAAGAAGCCTTACCAACATCCTATACAACCTCAAAATGACGTCCCAACTCCTACACTCAATGGTCTGAACAATGAAAGCAAATGTGCCAGACACCTTCTTAGCCACTCTGTCTACCTGTGACAGAGCTGTCAATGAACTGTCTCCTTGGTATCTGTTCAACAGCACTTCCCAGGGCCCTACCATAAACTGTGTCATACCTGCCCTCTGATGTTGCCTGGCCTGCTGTGTTCTTCCAGCTCCATACTGTGTCAACTCTGACTCCAGCATCTGCAGTTCTAGCTATCTCTAATTCCTGCCCTTGTTCATTTTCCCAAAATCCAAGACCTCTCATTTATCAACATTAAACTCATTGGCCCCTTCTCCGCCCATTGGCCCAATTAATCAAGATCCCTTTGTAATCTTAGAGAGCCTTCTTCACTGTCCATTATAACACCAATTTTGGCGTCATCCGCAAACTTACTAACCATACCTCCTAAATTCTCAAACAAATCATTCACATAAGTGACAAAAAAAAAAAAAAATCAGTGGACCCAGCACCAATCTGAGCCTGTTGGTCACAGGTCTCCAATTCAAAAAACAACCCTCCACAACCAGTCCTACCACCAAGCCAATTTTGTACCCAATTGGCAAGGTCTCCCCAAATCCCATGTGATTTAACTTTATTAATTAGTCTACCATGCGATACCTTGTCAAAGGCTTCCTTGCTCCATTTCATCCTGGATAGATCCTCTCTCATTCCATTAAAGTTATCCTCCTTCCAGTTAAGAAGTTCTACTTGAGACTGTTCTTTGCTCTTCTGTATTAATAATCTAAATCTTCTGTGTAGTCTTATTCAAGAGATCCCCTGTAGGCACTTGGCCCACTGCATTCTCCAGCACACAACGTAGCAATGCCTTCTTCATCCTAGCAGCAGGGAAGCAGCACACCAGGCAGAAGCTACATGAATGTTGACAGACAATTGAGTGTGTACCCTGAAAATCAGGTATTATCCAATGACCGAATTTCTTTTTGCTCTTCCCTCCTGTACAGTCCCTTATCAGTGCAAATTTGACATAGGATATTATAACTACATTCTCTGCCACTACTGTACAGCTGAACTTGACATGTTGCGAAACTATTAAAATCATCTATCCCATGAACGTTAAGGCTTCTTGCACAAAAAGACAAGTGGCACTAAAGTCAACTCTTAACCGATTACAAGTGTAGACTGGAGATATTAAAGCCTTATTATTTAAGTGTGCAGAAATACATTATGTAAAAGAGAGAATAAAAATGCCATCCATTCCCAGGGCCAATTGCTTTCAAAAAGATAACCACCAGCTTCCTGGCCATAAGTCTGAGGCGACAGCAGACATCAGAAACTTCCGGCAAAAATCAGAAGTTTGCCTGGGACAAATCTGTGCCCAATCCTCAATAACAACGCACAGGCAAGGGAAAATTAGAAACCAAAAGGTAGGGCTGTTCCCAGCACATGGAAATTCCCAGGAATACGTTCAATTTTAATTGATTATTTGAGATTATAATAAATTTGCCTGCCAGCTTTACTGCAACACCACTCTGCATGTAGTGTCTTTCTATCAGGAAAACACCCAGAGTGCTGCACAAGTGCTTAATCAGACAAAAATGGACTCTGACCGTAAGGAGCTATTCAAGTGCATAACTAAAAGCTTGGTCAGAGATATATGAAGGAAGGTTTTAAATAAGGACAGAAGGTGTGCAGGCGGAGATGACTGTGAGCCAAGGGGCCTGTTTCTATGCTGTATCACTCTATGACAAAGAATGAGAATGCAGAGAGCTCTAGGGAAGAAATTTCAGAGTTTAGGGCTTAGACGCTAATGTCATGGCCAGCAATGGAAGTAGGGTATATACAAGAGACTGCAATTGAAGGAACACTGTTCTTGGTAACTTATGGAGTTGATAGAGATGCAAGGCATCCCTGAGACAATGGAATGATTCAAACACAAACTTGATAGGAATGCAGGCCAGCGTATGAACACATACAAACAATGAACAGAATTTGCTGCAATTTAGATTATCAACAGAAGAGTTGATAGTTTAAGAAAAATGTTAGATGGGACATTGCCAAGAACAGTACTGGAAGAATCATGACTGAAGGTAACAGAAGCGTGCATGAAAGTTTCATCAACAAGTTCAGACAGAATCATAATAGGCCAATGTTGCCAGAGTGGAAGTGGTAACCTTTTTGAAGAGGAGGTTGTGGGTTGGACTTGCAACCCAGGGCTAGGTAGGATGGCCAACTGATTCAACCTACGGTAGTAACAGAATGAGATGGAATCTGCAGAATGCAAGTCTCTGCCTTCAGCTCCTGCCAATGTATTGGATAATCATAATTTGTAATTGGAGGAATTAAGGCCCATTGAAGACTGAATGCTGGACAATTGCCTAACAAAATGGAATTTCTTTTTGTGGATTCTCAATGTGTTGGTCATGAGATTGGGGGTTCAAGCTTCTATTGTGGTTTGAGTTCTGAACAATGTTGGTGTCCCATGAAATACAGTGTGCTGCACTGCTGCTTGAACCTCCAATCTCATGGCCATGAGGCAAGTGAACTATCGTGCAGTTAAAATGGACAATGCTTAGGGATAGATCATACAACACTCTAATTCAATCTGGTCTCACTTCAATTAGCTGATCACCACATTCAGATTTCCAGAGCTAATTAAAACTCCATTCACTCATTCTTTCATTGCCAAAGCTTACATAAACCTGCAAATATAACAGCAGAATAGGTATGAAATAGTCAAGAGGTGGCTCAACACATTAAGAGAAATCCACAAAAAGAAACTCCACTTTGTCCAAAACAAAATCAAATGGCCATAATTTGAGATAATGGGAGTCACACGTGATTATGTCAATTACTACTTTCAGAGACACGATCATGCTTCTAGGTAGGATCTTATCCAAACTGCACAGAAGCAACACCACCTTTCAAAGAAGCACATTGCTCTTGTCTTGTCTCACTTTATTCAAATTTTTTTCAGTTTCTTTCCATAATTGTACAGGGCTTATAGTCCAGTAGGTCGTAGTCCTGTCTCTTAGCCAGAAGCTTTGGGTTCAAGACTCACTCCAGGCCTTGATGGCCACCAAAATGACACACTTGACAAAGCCACACAAGGTGATTATCAACCTGCAAATCCATCCAACACCACAACAACAACAGGTGCTAAGAACAGGACACATTGTATCAAGCATGGCTGACCAACACAGTAGTGCCCCTCAAACAGCAGCTTCGGGGCTTCAGGTGAGTGAAGTGTTCCAGGAAAAAACAAGGTCAGAAATCACATGACACGAGATTATAGTCTAACAAGTTTATTTGGAAACACAAGCTTTCAGAGCCTCAGTCCTTCTCCAGGTGTTAGTGAGAGAGGTAGTTTCAGACACAGAATTTATAAGTAAAAGATCAAAGGTTCACACAATTGATGAGGATATACTAAACAAATCTAAGATGCTGTTAAATCTTTAATCAGTTAGAAGGTTAATTGATTAATATGCATATGTAAATTCCCAAATTCCTTTCAAGTCACAGTCCTTAGAAAACTAAAAGTTTTATCAGTGTAAAGAAGAGCTGACATTTTAGGTCAGACAATGCATATTAGGTGCAAGACCTTGTTTAGAATCTGTTTGTGTTTTGGTTTGGAGTTAGGCTGGTTTCATTTCTAAAGCAGGAATTTATAAAATGCCATATTAACTGACTGCAAATAAATTGTGCGCCTTTTTGAACAAAACAAAACGTATCTGCAAATACAAATTCATCCCATTGATTCACGTGTGCGCATGTGTGAGAGCACGTGTGGGGTGGCATTTGGGGGAAGCGTGAGAGAATGAAGGGGGGTAAGAGAGCATAAATTCTGTGCCTGATACTACCTCTCCCACTAACACCTGAAGAGGGACTGAGGCTCCAAAAGCTTGGTGTTTTCAAATAAACCTGTTGGACTATAACCTGGTGTTGTGTGATTTCTGACCTTGTCCACCCCAGTCCAACACCGGCACCTCCACATCAGGAAGAAACATAAGCCTGTTTCTCTGCCTAATGCACCTTCAGACTCAAAGTCTTGTAGGCTTAAGTTGGAGTATTTGACTGTTTCCATCTTGTCACTTTTAGCTAACATCACACCAGAGTAACATTTTACGTTAACTGTGTCCAACTATTGCCAAGTTTATTCTTGTTCATATCTGGAATATGTTCCAAAGCAGTTTGAGAATATCTTGCTGCAAATGTTGACAGCCGGATTGGAAGAGGTAGTTAAGGAAGGGAGATGGGCCAAAGAGGGGAATGGCAAGAGAGACGGGGGGAGGGATGACAAGGAATATAAACAGGAAGTGATGGCAAAGGAACTCAGCAGGTCTGGTAGCATCTGTGGTGACAGAAGTGATTTGAACATGGAGTTGAATGTGACTTTTCTTTGGATTCTTATTCAATTCTTAATTCTTAAAAATAGTCAATAAGTTTTCTGTAACTTTCCTCACTTTTGTTGCTGTTGTTACCTGAAGTACACTTCTGTTTGCTGGGTTTACAGATAACCTGATACACCTGGTGCCAGAGAGATCTTACCTGTGATTGGATAATTGCTGCATGGTTGCCATGGAAAGGAGATTGTCTCTCTTTTTCTCTGTGGTGTCGACTGCTCTGTTTGCTCCGTTGAAGCTGTTGACGCAATTTCGCGATCTGGAAAAGAAAATGTCAATGAGATTAAATGAGAGTTTTAAAGTGCATACCATTTAAAGTGAGGAATAAACTCTTTGAAACACATTCACTGAGCTCCGCCTATTTAAAAATCTGAGTCTTCCAGTACTTAGCTTGCTCCTGTGCTGAGATCATGGAAATGCCATTTATAGATGATATTCAAGCAGGGTTGAATTATAGAGAAATATGCTAAGTTTTGCTGGATTAATTTTAGGGGTAAACGAGCAATTAAACACATTTTAGGGGATTAAATAAATAGGAAATCATCAATTATGGGGCTGCTAACATATGAAAAATTGGTCTGATAACTTTTCTCAAATTTTAGGGTTCTGCATCATAACCTCCTCAAATAAATTTGCCCAACATGCTGAGTCATGATTGTTCCACTAACATTTGTTTCCCTGCCGTAAACCTAATGGCATTGATGGTCCTTTTTGACTGTGGAGGCTTCATAACAGATTCCAACTGACCTTACCTTGCACACTTGGCACCCTTCAGCTTTTCTGCAGGGGTCACTGCACAGAAATCAGCAGCACCTCCGACTGATTATGCTCCCCTATCCTATTTGACAAGCCTAATCATCACAATAGTGTTGCCACTCCCAGACATCACCTAACACAAACTCAGGATGAGTCCAAGAACATTCTAACCATTACAGCATAGTTACATGCTATGACTGCCAACTAAGCCCACAGAAACTTTCAAGAACATTTCCACAGGAAAGCATTTCATAAGTTTTCAATCACTTTTTAAACTTAAGAAAACTTTCAAAACTTAAGCTGAGTACCTCATTAGGCTATACAGAATCCAAACATATCTCCTTTCCTCATTTGACATTCATTTTACATGTACCAAGTGTTTTTTTCTTTGTTTTTTTATAAAGGAGGCAATACAAATGAAAACTGTTCAAATACGGGCTACCAGAACAAAGCAGTTTCCGTATTAGAAGTGGATGTTTCAGATTCAGCACTGTCCTATGAAGAACATACAATTTGTATTACCTGTTATGTATTTTTTTTAAAACCAATATCAAAGTTAGTAATCATAGAGTCATTGTGTAACACAGCATGGAAACAGGCCCTTCAGCCCAAACTGGTCCATGCTGACCA